GCTAGGCAAAGCGCGGCGTCGTCAATGGCGCGTAATGTAACGTGGCGTATCAACTAACGTATCGTACAGTGGTAACGTAATGTAACTTTTGTCTGCGGCGGAATCGGGAGCGGAAGCCAACTACATACGGAGCATCATCGGTCGCGACCCAGGACGAGGACAACAGTGCCAGAATCCATTTGACTAGTCTAGTTGGGTCTGATGCAGTCTTCAAACGGGCGTCTCAAACACACCCTTTCCACATGTGGAGCTCCAAAGAGTTGTTGCAGCGTAAACTAGCAGTACTAGATATATGAAAAACAACCATCCTTCGTTTTTCGTATTTCGGTCTGGATTATGTTTACATGATGTTTTTTTAAGTAGACTGGCAGCGAACTGGTGTACTGTTGGCAACCTAAGCCCGGAGCTCAACCATCTCAACGCCATCCCACGGCCGCAGAAGAAAAAACCCATCAGAACGCCGTCCCATCTGTGCTTGACTTCGCCTAAATCATCTCACACGCATAGGTAGCCCTCGTAACAAGAACTTTAAGCTCCGTTCTGGGCATTCTGCTGTTGTGATTCGGTGCTGACCATCTTTCTCAACTCGAACTCTTTGGTAAATTCACGGCTGAGGGTTCCAAGGTCCTTGACAAGCTCATGGCAGGCCGTGAGGACGGCATCCTTTGGAGTAATGGCACCGTCGGTCTGAACACGGAGGATGAACTTGTGGACGAGGGGATGGGGGACCTGCAAGATCATCCTCATTAACACATGAGACTTCACACGCGAAGGGGGGGGGAGGGGGGAGGGGGGAGGCAAACGCATCATACCTTGTATCCAGCAAACTGGACATGCTGGCTTTTGAGAAGCTGAGCCCGAATCAAGTTTCCAAGAGTATGGTCTTCCTTATTGAACGTGAAGATCGCGGTGGATGGGACGCCTAGCTAGAAAATCAGTCCTGGTTGCGCGTTTTCAATAAGAAATGTAACGGACTTACGGGTGTCAGTCTCCATCTCGACTTTCTTCTCTCCCGGCCCGAGGACGAAAGACTCAAATCTAGATATCAAGACAGAGGTTTTCTTTTAGCGTTTGGATATCCAAGCGCGTTTCAATCAAATAAAACTTTCAAATGGATAAAATAACTTCAAAACAAAACTGTTTTTTCAAGGAATGTGATCACTTCGGCATGGGTTTGTAGAGTGGTATAGCAGTGAGAGCAGAACATAACAGAAGAAAAGGGAAGAGCCTAACGGATTGACCATGTCTTTTGCAGGGCGAACTTTGGTCTTGCATGGGTTGTGACGGTAACTTGCGCCTGAATGGTCGAAAAACTGGCGGACAAAGGGGCGGTCATCGTCGGCCGGCCCTGTGGAGCGCTGGCCTGACTGAGAGCCGCGAGAAAGGCGAGGCATATTGATTTAGGATGATATATTTTTTTAAAAAGGAAGGGGAAAGGGGGGGGGGGGGGGAAGAGTTCAAGGTGATGGATATCATGCACAAAAGCAGGGTGGCTGTGATGATAATTTTGCAGAGCAACAAGGCAGAAAGATGCCAGAGATAATAAACAGTGAGTTGCGTGCAACCACATGACAGCGGGGAACAAGCCAGGCGGGCAAGTCTGGATGTTTAGAAAAGCTCGGCATGCGCATGGGGCTTTAAGGAACCTGCCCTTCTCTCTGTTCTAAATGCCCGCACATCCATTTCCAACTCCCAGGGCCAGAGTGAAGGAGAGCAAAAGAGATAGAAAGAAAATAAAGCTCCATCTTACCTATCAGGGGCATTCATTTTGAGAAATATAAATGGAACCCAATAACCAAAATCAAAACAAGAAAAGGTACTTGTCCTCGAAAGGTGAACAAGCTGGATTGAGTGTGTTGATACAAAAAGGGAAGCAGACGAGATCTGGCAGCGTAGAAGTCGTCTATTCACCGAAAATTCCCGGAGGACATGAAAGGGGAAAGCAATGCGGTGTGCAGAGGCTGGAGCCCTGGACACTCTACGAAGAGCAGGAAAAGTATGATGAGTTCACGATGATATACGTATTTTTCGTATTCCAAGACGCAATGCTCTCAGACTTTAGGGATGGGGTATCAGAGGAAAGATATCAGATCCGACAGAGATAGAATATAGGGGACGATGGGTGCAGCGCGCAGCACTGCTTGATATGCTTGGATACAACTCCGGGGAGGAAAGGCTCTTCAAGCGTGATATCAAAACTTCGATCCTCCCTTTTCCGCACCTCAGAGGCGGTTTTCTTTTTGCCGCACGACGCAGAGACAAAGCAACAAAAGGCCGGCGGGCGCTAATTATGTAATATTGCTTATGTAAATTATACTAACGTAATCCACAAGCGAGCGAAATCCGCAAGCGAGCGAAAGATATTTTTTCAACTTCCTCAACCATCCACTTCAACACGTCAGAATGCCACCAATTCGCAATAAAAATGCAAGATCTCTATAGAAATAGAGGGCAGGATTGAACTTGCTATTTCTACACTTAAAAAGCAAGAAATTAGCTCAATTACTGAAGCTGCATGGCTATTTAATGTGCCTTATACTACCCTATATCATCAAACAAAAGAAAGACATGCACAAATCAGTCTACACACAAATTCAACCAAATTGACTGAGCCTGAAGAGAATCAGCTAGTTCAATGGATCTTAGACCTAGCTAAACAAGGAATCTCCCCCCAACCAGCATTTGTTGAGAATATGGCCAACCATCTTCTTGCCATGCAAGATCCTACCTCTCCTCCCCCCCATGTTGGCCAGAACTAGATGTCAAATCTGATTAAACACCATACAGAGCTCAAATGCTGCTATTCCAGATACTATAATCACAAGAAAGCAAAATGTGAGGATAGAAAGATTATTCAGGCTTGGTTTAAGACTCTGGGGGATATAATTTGTGAGGATCGTACGTGTGGATCGGCGTGACAATGAATCTATAGGAGGAATTGTATGTAGAAAAGAGTACGCGAGGTAAAAGGTCTGGTATTGGCAGCTATGTACGACTTCTAGACAAGATTGCCACTGGCTCCCAACAAGGGGTTCGCGCAGTGGCGGCCTTTTATGTGTGCTCGCGAGCACGTGACTTAGTGCCTCGCGAGGACACATGTACTCCCAACAGCTCGCGAGCCCAGGCCCTGGGCCCTCGCGGGTGTTGTTTGTCCGTGTAAGGGGTTCGCGGGCGAATCCTTACATAATTGCTGAGCATGGAATCCCAATGGAAGATATCTACAACTTTGATGAGACTGGATTTGCAATGGGCCTTTGCACAACTACCAAGATTATTACTAGTGCTGAGCACTATGGCTGAGCAAAGCTTCTACAGCCTGGAAATCAAGAATAGGTCACAGTAATTGAATCAGTCAATGCCTCAGGCTAGGCCTTGCCCCTGTACATCATTCTTAAGGGACAAAATCTACAGGAAGGCTAGTTTGATAGACTTCCAGCTGGCTGGAGACTTGATGTTAGTTCTAATGACTGGACCACAGATGAGATAGGAATCAAATGGCTGACTAGGCTATTTATTCCTGCTGCAAATCTACAGAGGGTTAGCACTTATATACTTCTTATTCTGAATGGGCACAGCAGTCATCTTACCCCAGAATTTAATCATATCTGCAAAGAGAATAAGATTATTTCTCTGTGCATGCCAGCACATTCATTACATCTCTTGCAGCCTCTCAATGTGAGTGTTTTTGCAGTTTTGAAGCAGATATATGACAGTCTAGTTGAACAGCAAATGCAGCTTGGAATCAACACTATTAAAAAGGCAGATTTTCTGAATGCCTATCCTACAGCACATACAGAGGCCTTCAAGACTCAGAACATTCAAAGTGGCTTCATGGCTACTGGAATAGCCCCATTTGACCCAGATCAGGTTCTTCAGCAGCTGGATATTCAACTCCAAACCCCTACTCCCCCAGCTAACCAATCTAGCAACTCAGTATCATTCTGGATCCTACAAACATCTCACAGCCCCCAGCAATTGCATAGGCAGGTGGATAAGATCAAGAATCTTATAGAGCAGGGGCTTGAGAGCTCACCCCAGGGCTTAACAGAAGGATTTGACCAAATTATCAAGGCCTGCAAATATGGAATGGTCAACACCATTATTATGAAAAAGCAATATCAGGATATATTTGCTGCAAATAAGAAAGAGAAGCAAAAATGTACAAGATCTAAGCATCAAATTCAATGTGAAGAAGATCTAACTAGGAAAGAGATTGCTGAGCTTGCCATTCCACCTGCTTAATCTGTTGAACAGTCAGTTGCTCAACTTTCTGAGCCCACAGCCTCAGAGTCTGCATCACATTTGCAGGCACCACCAAGATGTACAAACTGCCATATTTTAGGCCATACAAGAAGAAGCTGCTGCAGTCCTATTGCAATGTAATTTAATCTATTTAGGGGTTGTTGAGCATAGATATTTCAGGTTAAATTCTAGTTAGTTGGGATGCCTTAATTTAATCTTTCGCTTGCTTGCGGATTTCGCTCACTTGTGGATTACGTTAGTAACTACAGAATTGGCTAGCTGTGGCTGGATCGCGGAGCGGTTCGTGGCTGAGGCTCAAGTTGTGGTTCGGGCCGGCGAATCGGCGATGCGCCCGGCGGCGGTCCAAGCGGGCGACCTCCGTCTGCCAGAGACACCTGCGAGAGCACCCTTTTTATCCCCATCGTTAAGAGACCCAATGCTATAATAATAAAAATTACACGAGAAGGCCCCGCGACTCCAGCTGCTGGCTGACAAATAACTCTCCAGTGACAAGAAATTACACTGCTCCTGCAGGAGTTTGACCGAGCACCTGCGTGGGAGCCGTGGGTGAAACTGCGGAGGGCGCCCGGGGAACCCTCCAGACGGAGAAATTTTGTCCATGAATCATTACTCCATAGTTTACGGACTCTTAAGCTCCTATCACAAGCTGGCCGACCCATAGCGGAGACAACCCACCTTCATTGTTTAAATAGAAATACCTTCCCCGGTTACCAAAGCAGAGCAAGAAAACCTAATTGGAACGAAAGAAAAGTCTCAAAAAAGTTCAAGGAGCCCATACTTGATATAAAATTGTGAAATAGTGATTTGTGAGCCATGGCCGTAAGAACCACAAAGGCCGCGCTCACGGCAGCCTATCCATGGACCAAGACCCCTCTCATCACAAGCGCACCGATGCTGCGTATCGCCCACCCACCCCTCGCCGTTGCGGTGTCTCGTGCCGGTGGGTTTGGCTTTCTGGCAGCCGGATTCGATACAGCAGACCTGGAAACCAGCTTCGAAAACACAGCGAAGCTGGTCCGCGAGCACCAAGCAGACAACCCCAATTTTACTGGCGCTGACAAAGATATCTTGCCCGTCGGCGTTGGATTTCTGAACTGGGGTGCTGACATCAACCATGCGATCCCTCTGATCGGAAAATACCTTCCCGCGGCGGTATGGCTGTTTGGGGCCGCCCGTCCCTCCGGAGAAATATACGGGCAATGGGCGCAACGAGTCCGCTCAGTCACGGGCGGCAGGACGAAGATATGGGTCCAGGTCGGCAACGTCACAGACGCCCTAGGCACCGCACACACTGTCAAGCCCGATGTTCTTGTTATCCAAGGTTCCGATGCCGGCGGTCATGGACTAAAACAGTGCGCGAGTATCATCTCCCTTCTGCCAGAAGTTAAAGATGCCCTTGTCGCCGACGGGCTCGGGGACATTCCGCTCATCGCTGCAGGGGGGATAGTCGATGGGCGTGGCATGGCTGCAGCTCTGTGCTTGGGTGCAGATGGCGTAACCATGGGCACGAGATTCCTCGCCTGTGAAGAAGCGAATATTGCCATGGGCTATAGAAATGAAGTGCTTCGTGTCCGAGACGGTGGGCTCGTTACGGGAAGAACAACGGTCTACGACCGCGTGAGAGGTTACAACGAGTGGCCCGAGGAGTACGATGGCCGTGGTATTCTCAATCAGAGCTTCTATGACGCGGAAAAGGGCATGTCGGACGAGGAGAACCAAAGGCTGTACGCGCTCGAAACGAAAAAGGGTGATGAAGGATGGGGCCCTAATGGTCGGATGACGACGTACGCTGGGACGGGGGTCGGGTTGGTAAAGCAAGTCGCCTCGGCAAAAGAGATTATAGACGGTGTTCTAGATCAATCAGCGATGGTTTTGTCGGGATAGGCGCCGAGAAGCTCTTCATACAGTGTGATTTTGCTTCTTTTTCTCCGTGCTTAGACCAGATGAGTGTTCAGTTCCATGAAGTGGAAATATAGTTGATCGGAACAAACTACTCGGAGAGATCTACCGGCACACATTTCAGTGGTTGTACCGCCCCAGCTTGCCGAACCTAGATGCGAAGACTCTTGAGAATATGACAACCCACGCCATGCTCTAAGTTGATCGTGGTGCGTATGTATATATTAATAAACTGTACATACATTAGGTACACAGAGTACTAGGGGAGGAGCCCAATATTTCTATGCAGGAAGGAGAACGGGACAGTCCAGATTAAAGCAATACTAGGCCATTAGCAAAAACCCACAAGGTCAAAGCGCAACCCAAAAGAAGGACGAGAAGGAGAGGCACGGGTGATGGAGATACGGAAGGGGCAGCATTTCCAAGTCCAGCATACGGCTATATGATAACATCAAGATTTTTTGCAAGGTCTTTCCTTTTCTCCCCGTCTTTTGGTCATAGATTGCGCAACATCAGCTGAGAACAAAAATTCCTTTCGAAACCGTTAACTCCCATATCTTCTCTTAAATCTGATTAGAATGGAACAGATCACCGAGCGGCGACGAGCCTTTCTTGAACCGCCATCCGCTCTTCTTCTTTTCCCTGGCCTTGGCCATCTCTGCCCAACCTTCGTCATCGTCATCATCATCATTGGCGTTTTGAGCAGATGTAACCAGTCCACTGACTGGTCTGATAGTAGCGCCCGAATGATTTAATCTTGGCTGCGGGCTGGACGATGTAAATGTGGAATTCCGTGCCTCATCTAGCCATGGGCGAGGTGTGGACGCCGTAAAGGTGGATGAGCGGTTAGGTTGCGGGGGCTGGACTGTCGACACAGGTCGATATCGCGATGCTGCTCCTACGTTGCTCCGCTCCGAAGGTGCGACTGAAGGCGCGTAGCCGGGGTTCCCCATCATTCCGAGATTAGTGCCCGTGCTTCCCGTGTCCTGGGTTGCCGGGAAGAACGAGGAGTGTCTGTTCCACTGGGCAGAGGACGGATCAAGCATGCTCAGTGTTCTCTGGTCGACTTGAGGAGGACCAGGTTGAAGTGCATTCATGTTCGATACCATGGACACAGGGCGTTGCATTGGGCCCGGAGGCTGTAAGAGATTTGGGTTGTTCATCTGCATCGGCTGCCCAAGTTGCATGCTTTGCATCTGCATCATCTGTTGCATCCACTGGATTTGCATTTGCATCATTTGAGTCATCTGCTGTGACACTTGAATTTGACTTTGGTCGCCGGGACCTATGCCATTCGGCTGTCCTCCAATTTGTGACAATAACGTAGGCCCAATACCTCCAGGGTTCAAGTGATTCATGCCTTGCGAGGTGTTTGGCATATCAAAACTGACTTGAGCGTTTGGGCTACCCCTCCTCATTGCTCTCGCACGTTCCTCGTTCGCGATCATCCCTACCAGACCTCCAGGTGGCACCGTTGGCGTTGGCCCTCCGTAAACGGAGGGGGAACCACCACCCAAAGCGAAAGATTCTCTGTTGGGTGGATTGACAAGGCTTGCACCGAAATATGGGTCTTGGGGAAGATTACGAGCGAAAACAGGGAGAGTCTTGCGTTTCGGCGGAGGTGTGTCGCCCGTAACCGAGGGAGGTGTAAGCATATAGGAAGATCGAAGGTTTGGATTAGAATTTGAAGATAACAACTGTGAGGGAGGTCGATTTTTGTTTGGGAATCCATGCGCAGCTAGAATAGCAAGAGGAACGTCGTCATCATCGTCACCATCACCGCTCTTTCCAGCAGGCGCTTTGTCTGCTGGAAGCATTGGTTGGTGGTTCGGATTCGCAGATGGACCCGTGGATTCCAAACTATCGCGTTTCGATTCAAGGTTGGTCAATTTCGCCTGTTCTCCAGTAATCTTCATCATCTGTTGTCTATAGACCGACAGATGGGCCTCCTGTTTTTTCCTCTGGTTGGCTGCTTGGCGCTTTTTCTCCGCCTCGTCCTCTTCTTCCTCTTCTTCACTGTCGTCGCCCGAGGAATCGGACGTAGATGCGTTACTCTGTCGCCTGGTCATCTCCTTCTGCTGCCGATACCGTTCAAATTGGGCTGGTGTCATTACTTTTGTCGGCTTTTCGTCGTTCTTCAAAGAAACTTCCTCGTATCGCGCTGCAAGGCTGGCCTCTGCCGACAGAGAATGTTCATTCTGCCTAGGAAAGACGGGGTTCACGTTGGATAACGCCGATGTAGGCTGCTTATTTCGGTGATTGAGCGGGATAGTGGTAAAATCATTGTCGCTAGCATACATGGACGACACTTCGGGGTCAGCGAGTCCGTGATTGTCAGCCGCGAGGGCTGGTGGCGAAGGTCCATTGGGAATCAATGTTGCATTGCTGGAGCTGAAAGAAGCGTCGGTGTAACCAGCATTGGCGTTCGCTGTTAGGCTTCTGCCACTCGAGTAACTGGGCTGATTTGGGTTTCGACTGTCCTCATCAGAAAACCGAACTTTGCCCAATTGTTGGGCTAGACGGTTCGATGTTACAGAATTTGTCTCAATTGGAGAACTGGGTCTGATCAAACTATCACTCGAGGATTGACTATCGCTCGGGGATGGTGCGGGTATCGAATTCGAATGGCGGTGAGTATGAATGGGAGATAGCAACGACGAGCCATTCGGGCGGCTGCCTTTCGGAGGTACGGGGGCACCGTCGCTAGAGGAAAGTTGCTGTAGGCAAAATGATTAGCCGGTAATCACGAAAAGGAATATGGATTTGAAGAAGAAGGGGGCATACGTTTGATGGATTAAGAGAATTCGAGTCTAGAAGTTGGCTCTTCCTTTTACCGATATTGTCAAAAATATTTGAAAAATCCTCCGACGACTCGAGGTTCAAGTCAGACTCCAAGAGTCTTGGAGGAGTGGCCGTACTGGTGGTGCTTGTTGTCATTGCGCGTTCTCTGGCAGTGGACTCACTGTGTCGCGGAGTACCATGCTGGGTAGGGGGTAACCTCGGTGCCTTTGTGCCGAATGAAAAGGTTCTTCCAGCGGAGCGCAATGCAGATGCGAATGACGATTCAGGTATCGGGGGAACAGGGAGATCATGGGCAGAATTGTCTGAAGGTAAGGTGGACGAGGAACTGAATTTGGCCGAAGAAGAGCTATCGTATAATCTGCTAGTAGACGAGGAATTGTGGGTTCCCCCACTTCCGGTCGAGCCCGTTAACTTCCCGGCACGGGCCCTTGCCGGCTGCGTATCAGGAGCATATTGATGGGCTGTAGACGGTCTCTCTATGCCCGCAAATATGTTGTCCGGATAGGGGTCGTCGACAGGCGTTTCTCCTTGGTTTCCAGCTAGGCGCTGCAATGCACTAGTTCCATCAAACGACTTGCTACTTCCGTGTGGTCGCTCGAATACCCGAAAAGAGGGTTCAACGGGGGGCTTCACATCTTCCAGCGCATTTCCTGAAGACTTTCGACGGGCAAAACTTTTGGGCAGTTTAATCGGCATGGAGAAGGATCAGAAGGTGTCGACGTTCGGGGAGGAGCAGTGGGCTTGAAAGGTGCAACGATCGAACGAAGAAGTCCGGCAAAAATAATACGACCCGGTCAATTGTCTCACCCAGTTAAGGGGGTGAAGCGTCGAATGTTGTCCAACCAGAAATTACGAGGACATGGGGAGGAGAGGAGGCGCGAAGAAGAAAATGATTCTATAGAGAATTCGACTGAACAGGCCAAAACTGTATCAGTGAGCTGTGCGCAGGAGATGCGATGGGATTTTGTGGGAGTGCAGAGGTCGAAAGTTGGGAAGCGGGAAGTGGGAAGGACAGGGTTGTAGGGTTCAAAGGAGAGAGGTCTCGAGATCACTCGTCTGAATGCCCGAAAACAAAAAGTGCCTATGCCTCAGCAGGGGAGCGGAGCCCTTGAGAGCAAAGAGACGAAGGTGTCAAGCGGTACATACCTTGTAAAAGCGTGGAGGTCAACCCGATTCCCCCCCAAACAACCCCGAAGGTGGAGGTGGATCACTCTCGAAAGTCAAGGAGAAGGGTTGGAAGCGAGAAAAGCAGCAGATCCGAACTTAATTCAAGAAGACTTGGAAAGAGGCGATTCAAAACCCGGAATCTTAACCTAGATCTGGAACTATGTAATACTGGAAGCGGCGAAAGGGAGTGTGTGCGATGATGTGAGGAGGATTATGATTATTGACGGCTGTTCTGTGAAGAGAGCCAGTCAGCCATGCATGTGTTTTGGGACGAAAGGGACTAAGATGGGCTGTCCAGGGACTGGCCGGGCTAACTAACTAACCTGACTGGCACCAAAAAAAAAAAAAAAGAGAGAAAGAAAAAGGGCAAGCCCAACAATGCGGCGATGCTAAGGAGCTAACAAGTCCACTGAAAGAAGAGGAGAATGTAAAAGAAAGCTGCACAAGGATCTGGAACTCTTGTGTTGTTGAGGTGAAGATAAAAAAAATAACAAGAATGAAGTCAAGCTAGAAAAACAGTCAATATGTTTTATTACAAAGGAAGTCGTAAAAAAAAAAAAAAAAAAAAAAAAAAAAATCAAATCAGAAATAAATACAGAATAACAACGAGTAAAAATTAAAATAAATGCAAGGATATTAACAATCGTCAGTGATTCTTAGAAGAACAATGATGCCAACCATCCTGGCGGACAAAACAAAGCGAGCCGAGTCCTCTTTGCGCGCGCGCAGTCTCCTTTTTTTTTTTTCCCTCAAGTGGCGGTTTGGACAAATGGTGTTGTCAGGATGAGCCAGGCTATGGCAGGCGAGGGTGGCAAGCTCGGGAGTCCCTGACACAGCACCAATGGGGCCAGCGAAATGCTGAGGAACCCTCCCTTGTCTCGAGCGCCTTTTGGCTGCTTCATTGTTAGTTAGCGCCTGTTTCTGGCTCATTCACTCTCCGACATGCTGCTTGTTACACCAAATAACTGCTGCTAAACAACAGTTCCACAGCCCGTCTGCATGCACAGTGCTTTTCTAGAATTGCCCTGCCATCCTGTCCTCGTTATTTTCGTGGCCGTCCAATAGTCCGATGGGCCTCCCATCTTCAGCCCGAAAGGCCTAGTTCGCCACCAATGATGGCAGAGACACTCTCACGTGCGGAAGTTCCTGCCGAGCTGGCCCACAGACCAGGCATCATCGACTCTGGCAAAGCGGTTACACAGACACACACGCACCCCCCACCCCCCCCGGTTCCGTTATTCTTAGGATGGTTCTCCCTTCTTCGTGTCCGGAGAGAGAGGAGATCCCCGAACACCGTGTTTTCCCGGAGACCCGGAAATAGTTATATAATTTAGCGGATAGTGACAATCGGTCCTGGCATTCAGGATAGCCGTTTGCTCTTGAATACCAATTTATCGCTTTCATATGCTGAACAACAATACCTCTACGGGGTTACGGGGTACGTCACAGATAAATGTACTGATACGGAGTACATGCATCCTTGGCTTGTCTCCCGGGCACCGAGTGTTCGGAGTCTGTAGTTTACTCTTACTATCGCTTAACTTCCACCAATGCACCAAGCGTTTGAAAAACCGGCCATGGAGCCAACCACTCTATTTCGACACAGTTCGAGTGAACCCATCGCCAGCCAATGTATCATGCCACGCCATCTTCGATAGCAATTGAGCTACAGGCATTGACTCCACCGATCAGGGCAACCCCAGAAGGGACCTTGGCGCCCGTGATATTGAAGCAGGCAAAGGCGATGAGCCTTCTCAATGCCGGGCAGCACTTGAAAATGCTATTGACAAGAAAATCGTCTACCTTGGTGTGAAAGGAGATGTCTAGCTCCTTTAGCTTGGGATAAGTTCGACTTTCATCAAAGGTTGAGGCAAAGGCATCAAATGACACATGACGACAAGAGCTGATGTTGAGCGTTTCGATTTTATCGCCGGAATGCTCCATCAGTGCCTTGAAACCTTCCGACGCAAGACCAACCGGCTCCTCAGGCCCATCCGGCACCGCGTTATCGATATGGCGAGCACCGGAAAGATCGATAAAAGCCAACGGGGGAGCTTGCCAATTGGTAAAGAGATGTGCATAGCCCTTGTCGGTACAAGTAGCGTTGTCTGCAAATCGTAACTTGTTGAGCCGCTTACATCGCTGATGAACTGCTTCCAGTATACGGTCGTCTGCATTTTTAAAGCCTCGCAGCGAGAGCGTTCGAAGGTTAGGCCCAACGTTGTGAATGAGTTGACCGAGGGTCTCTAAATCTGTCTCCTGCATAAAGTCCAAAGACAGATGCTCGAGCCCCGTTAAGGTGGAAATCGACTTCAACGACTCGTTTCCGGGTCTCCAACATTCCTTTATCTTCAAACGACGTAGGTTCTGGCAGTTCTTCACCATCTGTTCAATGGTTTCGTCTCCCATGGAGCAGTCCAGGTTTGACAGCTTCAGGCTCTCCAGCTTATGGCCACAAGTTTTAAAGAACTTTTGCCAGCATTCATCCGACACAAGATTAGAGGAGTCGAGTTGCAACTCCCTAATATGGGACTCTCTACTCGTGATGTACTCCAAAGTGGAATCTTTAAATTGACCAGCACAACGAAGATTGACCCTTTCGAGATACGGCATGAAGGCGAAGATTTTCTGGAAGTCCTCTGTCTCGAGTTCTGCGTCCACGTTAGCAAACTGATTGTTTTTTCAAGTGGGTAAACTGGGCTTCGGAACGCACTGGCACAGTCATAGATGTCAATGCTGCTAACATCGCGCCGAAGGAAAAGTTCTAATGTCCTAGGAGTCATGACGCGCCTCTTTGATAAAATTTGGCTTAAACGATGCAGGAGACCCTCCGGCAAATCGCCAAACTCGTCGATATCATGTATGCTATCCGCCACTTTCTACAAGGCCGTTAACGGATAAGTCAAGGTTCAAAGTGCAACCTATTCAGTCTAAGCTTCCTTACCTTAATACACGTTTCTAACAGGCTAAAAGCACCACTTTGCGCAATGCCGTCAAGTAAGTTGCTATAGTTTTGGCGGCGCCCTCTTTTCGAAGGTTTGCGAACTTTTGCCTTTGCTTTCTTCTCCTCTGCTGTCTGCTTTTTAGAGCATTGGGTACATAAGAGTCCGCCTTCAGGTCCACTTTTACTGTAGGGCGTGACAGTGAATCGCTTGCTGCAAATTTCACAGTTGGCTAGCTGCCCTGGGACCGCTTTTCTTTTCTGATACATCATTGTCTCCAGAAGCTCGTCGTCGTCGTCGTCGCTGTCTTCATGATCTCCAGATCGCTTAGCCTTCTGCTTCTTCTTTGCATTGGCTTTTGCGGTAGCGAGATTCCTACGAGCCCGCTTTCTCGTAGCCTCGACCTCCTCGTAGACAGAGTCCTCCTCTTCATCCTCAGGCGTATCAACCGTGCTTTCGACATCATTTTGTTGAGCCGCGTCTGCAACGCGTCGCTGATAGCTATCACGAATCGCAGCAGCAGATATATTATGCGACTAGCGTTAATAATCTGCAGTCAGCCCATCTCCATCAAGCGGCAGCGATCCCAATCGTGAGCGGGGTCCAATTTTCGGTGTAAAACTCACGGCGAGGAAATCCGTTAGAGCCGAATGTCTACCAGCAGTCTCGTGAGCTTTTGACGGTATTTAAACCGGTAACTGATATGATATACATACGGGCCCTGTATATTCCTCCTCGGACGGGTATTATTGTTCGCCCTTTTCAATGGTAAGCAGGCGGAGCGCCGAGGAAAGACACATCAACTAGTTAAGTATGGCAGGATAGATGATGGAGCTATAGCCATATCATCCACCAGGACCAGGCTCCACTCACATTTCAAACTGGCATAATCTCGCCCACCCCCCGGTTGCTATACACCCAAAGTAAGAGAAAATCGAGATTTCGAAGAGTTCTGCAGACCGGACGGTCTCTGCTTTCACACGAAACTCCCTCCCTTAATTGGATTTTTGGCCACGTGACCTCGCGCCGCGTGTTCCGAAATTTCAGTTCACGCGTTGGTTTGAGAACGCCAGCCAGGCAGCAACTGGGCAAATCTCGAGCGATCGAGCCGCCTGATTGGGTCTGAGCGACGTGCGGCCAAGTGCCAGCGCCCTTCTTCGAACCTTCGGGCTCTGTTGCTCGCTGTAGAAAACCTGCAGTCATTGGTTCATGACCATCGAGCCCCTTGAGAACTCAGGTCAAGCAACGCCAGTATCTGAATTTGCCCAGGGATGCTCTGAAATGCCAACTCTTTTCCCTATAGACTCATGTCCGTGGCAATGACGGAGCATTGGTGAATGGCCGGTCTTATTTATTAATTTGCCTTTGATTTTTTTCCTCCCCCCCCTTGCCAGCGCCCTTCTTTCACAGACCAGGAAATACCCTTATTCGGTCTCACTTACGTCGTCTCCCTGGAAGATCCCATCCACTGAAGGGAGTTTCTTTGGTAAAAGAAGTTGCAGTAGCTAACTATTAGTTGGAATTCAAAGGAGGGGTCACCACCAAAGGTATTTATGACATTGATTGTCAAACTTCTGGCCTAGTCGCTGAACTTGACGACCAGAACGGGTCCTAGGAAAGCATTCAGGAGATTCCGAAGTGAACCTTTTTCGCAATTCTTTAGCGAACAAGATACAATGGCAGGTTTCAATTTGAAGAGGGGATCGTTGCAGACCCGAAGGTCCTCAAGGCTTCAATCCTTCGCAGTTGAGATACCTCCTCCAAGAGCAACCATTTCTTCTACTGGTTCACCGTCGTCGAGTTCAGGGAGTGAAAGCGCCCAGATCAGTGCAAATGGGTGCAGTACTCCGGCTACAACTACGCACCCTACTCCTGTCCCCTCGGACAGTATGTCATTAGGCCGCCCAAAAAGAATAAGTGCCTCTGCTCGCGCCTTGGAACTCCGAAATAGCTCTTTCACGCTTGGATATCGCCGTAAAAGAAATGTTACGGAGTTGACTGGGGAGCAGCCACTTGAAGAGTGTGCCGATGCCCGTCTAGCTCTGGCACTCCAGGCAGAGGAGTACGGGAAGAACATTGATGTTAAGCGGAGAAAAGTTTCTGCATCAACTTCCAACGGAAGAAACGAGATAAAGAACTCTACTGATGAAGACGATGAAGACGATGATGAATTGGATGATTCCTCTTTTTCTACATCTGCGCATACAATGACCGCCAATCGGTCCCGAAAACGCCCAGGGGCAAGGAGGCTCCCACTTGATACAAGGAGTAGATCGAGCGGGGATCCCTTGCCGGCGGTCCATGATACGGAACCCCTTCTCCGTGAACTTCGCTTGGATTTTCTAGATGATTCGAGCGACCTTTCTGATGATGGGTGGGAAGGTCCTGCCGACTTTTCCGAGACTTCACATCCAGAAGAAGAGTCAGACACCGATACTCCCAATGCAACGATCTCCCGCCCAAGTTCAACTCGGTCAACACGGCGACAGAGGCAGCGACTTACACGAGTAAGGCTTTTCTGTGTCCTTGAAAATGGCGAGCAAGCAGCTGATTTTTGCAGGCTGAAAAAGAGCGAAAGAAGCTCGAAGAACAGCACCCAAATGTCGCTACAATGTGGGAAGACCTAAAAGGCATTCCAGTGATTACGCCTACGCCGGCACCGCAGCCTACGGGCATATCTCGAAGACTCAAGCCTTTCCAGCTTGAAGGGTTGAGTTGGATGGGACAGCAGGAGCAGTCACAATGGAAGGGAGGCCTCCTCGGGGACGAGATGGGAATGGGCAAAACCATCCAGGCTGTTTCGCTTCTCATGTCTGATTATCCCGTTGGCATTCCGTCTCTTGTCGTTGTCCCCCCAGTCGCACTCATGCAGTGGCAGTCAGAAATTAAGGTTTGTAACCCAGATTTCAGCCCCCCTTTCAGGCCCAAGGCTTATGTGTCCATCCAGTCCTATACCGACGGTAAATTGAAAGTTTTTGTCTATCATGGCTCCAATTCCAAAGTGAAAAATGTAACAGTTAAAGAACTCAAGTCTTACGATGTCATAATGATATCCTGTCCGTTTGTCTTGCTATCCCCCTGGTTGTACGAGTCCAGGAGAATTGACATTCTTTAGATTCCGGCCTTGAGTCGATGCATCGTAAAGAAGTGAAAGGCTGGTCCCGTGGTAAGGGACTTGTGAAAGAGGACAGTATGTCATTCGTTCTTAAAACAGTCCCAATCCTCATTTCTAACAAGATTCAGGTATTATCCATTCTATTCATTTTCATCGTCTGATTTTAGATGAGGCGCACAATATAAAGGTAGGAATCTGGTACAACTGCTCTCTACCTCCTTTCCACCTGCTAACCATCACCTAGCAACGGACAACTAGTGTGGCTAAAGCATGTTTCGCACTGAAGGCTAATTACAAATGGTGTCTCTCGGGGACTCCTGTCCAAAATCGCATTGGCGAATTCTTCTCCCTGTTGCGTTTCCTTGATGTCAAGCCGTTTGCTTGCTATTTCTGCAAGAAGTGTTCATGTGAAGAGCTCCACTGGTCTCAGGATGAACTCAAACGTTGCACTCACTGCAAACATACGTAAGTCTTTCTGTTCAGCTTGAATAGTTTTAAGCAGCCGCGTTGACACTGGATAGTGGTTTCGATCACGTCTCCATATTCAATCAAGAAATTCTTAATCCTAGTGAGTCTACTTTACCCGTATACATTGAGGCTACAACTGACTGCGCGATCCTAGTCACCACTCCCGGGGCCCCCGAAAAACGACAAGACGCACTTGCTAAGCTACGCCTGATTACTGACAGAATTATGCTTAGGCGAGTCAAGAAGGATCATACGGCGTCAATGGAACTACCACCCAAGAGGTAGGTGCTCAAAATTGCAAGGATGGCAAAAAAGAAAAAGGACTCTATTTGACTTACCTGGCCACAGGATTGAGATTCACAACGAGTTCTTCGGTGAAATCGAACGAGATTTCTCGACCAGCATTATGACCAACAGTACTAGACAATTTGACACCTATGTCAGCCGTGGTGTCATGCTGAATAACTATGCAAACATTTTTGGTCTTATTATGCAAATGCGTCAAGTTGCAAATCATCCCGATCTAATTCTGAAAAAGCATGCGGAAGGGGGCCAGAACGTTCTTGTATGCAGCATCTGTGATGAAGCGGCAGAGGAGGCCATCCGCTCTCGTTGCAAGCATGAATTCTGCCGTCAATGCGCTAAGGAGTACGTTCAGTCGTTTGAATCCCGCGGAGAGCCAGACTGTCCTCGGTGCCACATCCCCCTCTCCATTGATTTTGAGCAGCCGGATATTGAGCAGGAAGAAAGTGAGGTCAAGAAGAATTCAATCATCAACCGTATAAAGATGGAGGATTGGACCTCATCAACAAAGATCGAAATGCTCGTGTATGATCTGTACAAACTGAGAAGCAAGAAGCAAACCCATAAATCCATTGTCTTCTCGCAGTTCACCTCGATGCTGCAGCTTGTGGAATGGCGGCTCCACCGGGCAGGAATTAGCACCGTGATGCTCGACGGGAGCATGACGCCGGTTCAGCGACAGAAGTCGATTGATTATTTTATGAACAACGTGGAAGTCGAGGTATTCCTTGTATCTCTCAAGGCCGGAGGTGTTGCCCTAAACCTGACAGAAGCGTCGCGTGTGTTTATTGTTGACCCGTATGGTACCCTAAATTCTGGTGTAAACTTATTTTTCTGTTTTGTGGGTGACATGCTAAGTCTATAAACTGTTCATAGGTGGTGGAATCCAGCGGCTGAATGGCAAAGCGCAGATCGTTGCCATCGTATTGGGCAGCGGAGACCCTGTGTGATCACAAAACTGTGCATCGAGGATTCCGTCGAGTCTCGGATGGTTTTGCTTCAAGAGAAGAAGGCGAACATGATAAATGGCACGATCAACAAGGATCAGAGCGAAGCCCTTGAGAAATTGACACCGGAAGATATGCAGTTTTTGTTCCGTGGAAACTAACCGATACCAAAGGTCCAGGATTCGGGGAGAAAAGGTCACGGACGGTGAGTTACCCTAGGCGAGGCCGTCAACGCTGTAACGTGAAATATGCGGGTATGACTCCGTATGGATGGGAGGTTCCAGGTATTACCTGGTTCGATACCAGAAATTGCTAGGAAGGGATACTGGTTTTATTGCGCTACTCTTTTTCCCCGTGGGGTCTACTCCATGGGGTTTGATGAGATGTCCTCTTGAGTACCCGATACATACAAATATAAGTGTAGTAAGATGCCCTGCGACTGTTCACTTCATGAAAAGCGAGTTTCAGGTAACAGCTAGCCCGGAGTTTGAGAATCAAAGGCTTGCATCCAACATACGGAATGCGCGTGACCTACTCCGTAGACAGTTCTATCACGAGCACAGATGCTGTTTCCATATTTTGCCTACAACGTCTCTGGACAACATCAGCTACGGGACACGCTGCATTAAGTCGTGGACTCTGTCCTGCGTACCTAAATACCTCTCTAGGGAGGATGGCGTGTCGGTGCAGCTGGTGGCTTGGAATTACAGACACACATAAGTACGTACGGAGTACTCCGTACAGATATAGAATTTTAATATAACCAACATAGGCTTAGAGGGAATAAATTACAGATTACCACCAAATACATCAGCTTCCAATAGAATTCCAGTATTAAATACACTACTGTACACGCTAATTTCTACGCTAATTTTGCCTAGTTGTGATCAACTTGAACTAAGCCTGGGGGCATTCCGTGTATTTCTCTTCAAACCATTCTCCTAATGTCAAAAAGTCTCAAGAAGGTTGAGAAACAAGCAACGCTGATCCTGCCTCTAGCGCAAATAATTCCGAGCTGAGGAAGCATTTTGCTTGGGCATTAGTGAGATTGGCTCGCCATTCTTGGGGCTGAATGAAAATTCTGTCACCAGTGCCCGACAGGCCATCTGCTGACTGCCTTGGTCTTCCATCAAACAACGCGGAAACAGCATTTCTGACTGTCTTTGACAATGATTGTCACAGTACAGACAGACACACTGTGATCACAGCCCATCCTGTTAGCCAATCCATTTCTGCAGCCCAGTATTGAATGACTCTGCTCCTTCTTCCAAGGCAATTAACCTGCTGATTGACCACCATCCACTGATGCCGCAGTCATGCTTGAATTCACTTGATGAATCCTTTGGCATCATTATTAGGCATCAATGCATCAGTAAGGGTGGGATATGTGTTGCATTGCATCTCAACCTAGAATCAACCTACCACGTGACATACCAAGAGATCTTGGTGGCTTTGCATTTGGACATTGAGGCACTTCATCCACTTGTTCTCCTTCACATTGGAGTATAAAGAAAGCAGCCCCCCCTGTTTTTCAAGCGCTACAATGGTTCGCCATCAAATGGTACCTAGCATTCACAGATCTAAGTGTGAAGCACCGATAGCTAGAAAGCACCCGCCACCAGAAAACATTGGTAGGATTCAAGATCTCTGCTGTACTTCCCGGCTGACCTATTCTAGGGAGACAAACCAAGCGGACAAGAAGGGAGGAACAGGAAAAGGAGGAGCAAAAGCCAAAATCTTGTCGCAAGAGCCTGCGATTAAGCCATAAAAAGCCCCTTGCAGCTGTAGGTATGCCTTTTCGATTATGTGGCTTTGTTTTGATTTGACTAATGTATTTCAGAACTGTCCTACCGACTCCCACTACGCTCGAGAACAGAAAACCAGACCCAACCGTAAACGATACTGCGAAAATCAAACATACCTATCTGTTAAGCGGCCCCAATTACTCACGTCGAAACCTGTTGAAACCCCTTCCGCGGAAGAGCGAGTTAATATAAGCAACTTGAGCAAGGCCGACCTGATTGGGTATTGGTGCGTCAGCGGGCACTGGCCGAAGAACTATTTCAAAGCACAGCCTGGACAGCCTGAAACTATGAGCCGACTCCTTGCAAGAAAAAAGTCATCGACATCTCTTCACCGCAAGGACTCAAATTCAAGCCTCGCTACGAGCACGAATACACCCGGCCAAGAATCAAGGGAAGGAAAGAGTGCCAAGTACAGAAGAGCGACCTATGAAACCCTCCTCGCCACTCTAGGCAGCTATATGCGCAAGTCAGAGCTAGGGATAACAGATAAAAGTAAGAATATTTGCAAAAATTTGCTGGAGAATGAACAACCTACTCCTGAGAACACATTATTTCGAGATGATACCTTTGAGGAATTTTGCCAAAGGCTACAGGGAAAAAATGAGCCAAGGGTTATACAGGATATAGCTCGATTGATTGTCCCTTCGGCAGAATCTCTTGCGGTTGACGGGGCCAAAGATCTGAGGCATCTAGTTGAAAGTGTCAATGAGACGTGGGGCTCCTCTATTCCCTTCTGTGGACCACGCCCGCAGCCTGATTATGCGGTCGGGTTCGGCCGATCTGCATTCACGGATGACCAGCTGAAGAAATTCGAGCCGTTCCTCGGCTACAACCCAGACTCCTACAGCTCCTTCTTCCTGGCTACCTTCTACATGTACTTCCCCTTCCTGACCTGCGAGGTGAAGGGTACCGCTGCGCTTGATGTCGCCGATCGACAGAATGCACACAGCATGACCCTCGCCGTGCAGGGCATTGTTGAACTGTTCAGGCTTGTAAAGCGTGAAGAAGAGGTTAATCGGGAGATCCTAGCGTTTTCAATCTCGCATGACCACAGAACAGTGAGAATATACGGCCATTACGCGATCGTCAAGGAAGAGAAGACTGAATACTATCGCCATCCGATACATACTTTCGATTTTACTGCCTTAGATGGCAAAGAAAAGTGGACAGCGTACAGGTTTACGAGGAACATATATGAGAAATGGGCCCCAAACCACCTGAACACTATTCTCTCGGCTCTTGACGAGATACCTCCGGGGGTAAATTTTGACATATCGGACCCTGGAGACTCCCAGACTAATGCCCCATCCTTTGTTGATGCGAATAGCCAGGCGAGTTTCGCGCACTCTATGGAAGTTACACCCAATACATCATTTACTCAGCAGACCCTGAAGCGGCAGAGGAAGCAGTAACATCCAAGTCCAGACCTGTATCATTGGAAGGGATTGAATCAGGCTATCACTACTGTCTTCGGTGCCTTCCTGCTGATCTTTCCCAGCATCACACTCTCTGTGAGATGGCCGATGTTGTTGGTGTTTTGATATGGGTATAAGATCTAGAAAGCGAATGTCAGGTGTTGAATTAGTCTGATTCCTTTGCTCTGCTTCCGTTTGAAATACATAGTCGGGCTTTGCGGTGACCCAAGTCACGTAAAATGCATGATGAAGAAAGGTTCCAGCAGAAGTATTCCTTTTACTCATCGCTATTGGGGTTGGGAGAAAAGCACGAAGATGTAATCACTTTTTATGGCTTGATCACTAGCAAACCCAACCGATTGTTCGCAAGAACATTGAATTCCAATTCTACATTTGCTTCTAGTAAGGCTGACTGTTTTCATCACCTTCCCCCTCATGGGACTGGGCGCACTGGGGGAAAGGTGTTGCACCAATGAACAGTAGGATTAGTCATCGTCCTATTTAACTAGGCCTGGAATCCGGGGCAAAAGGCGACTATCACCAATTTTGATCCATCAAAGAGCAACCAAGTGCTCGTCTACCTCTGCATGCAACACAGGGGACGAGCGAAGTCCATGCAGATTCCAAATATCAGGGGAACCGCCCTCCGTCGGCCAATATTTGATGCTGTGTGACTTGAGCCTCTCTTCACTGTCTTCTATCAACCTCCAACTTTGTCAATTGCCTTGGGATACAGAAGCCCTTTCTGTCCCTCCTCTCCTTTTTCATCGATTGGACGCTTTTGCCTCCTTGCCACCACGCGAAGCCATAGCCGGTCCGCAGCACTTTTTCTACCCGTCAAGCGGGTTAGTGGGGTTGCTCCACCACCTGCAAGCTTCGCAAAATTTCCCACTCTCCCAGCAAACAGGAAATGGGACTCATTCACAGATTCGCGGGTTTACCTACCTGAGAGAGGACTGGATACACGAGGCATTTTGAGGCATCTTGTTGATTAAAATTGCAGTGAGATTAAATTGGCCCCTTTCCAACGTCTTGAAAGACTATGCTTGCTTGTTTCAGCACTCCCAGTTCTGCCATGATTATTCAGAACGTGTATTTTGCCAGTGTTCAAGTGGCATGACCGGAGGTAGAGTAGAGAAATGCCAAATCATTAATAGCACATTTCTGCTGTTCTGCAGTTTTGCATTCCAATCACTCAGGGCTTTCACATTGGTGTTTCCCACCTTCAGTCACTCTGGCCACATATCTTAACCCTGGTGCCTCTTCTAGGCCCACAAAAAGGCTCCATTGCGATCAGGAGAAAATAGAATCTTGCGTGCCTGATCTTGACGCGGGTTCTGGTTGGCAGAACGCCCAAAAAAATGGCACGCACCCAACTTGGCACAGCGACCAATTTTGGAGGCCGGCGCCATTTTTGTTCCCCCTTGAAGATCATTCCTTGACATGTGGGTGAGATCATCCAGCGGCATCATTTTGGTGCGCAACCACCATGGAAACCAAAGGAACTGCTGCTTTGGTTGTACCCATTTTTGCTGCAAGCGAAAAATTGTCAAAACCAGAGGAATGTAGAACTGGAGGAGAGGATGTCAAGAGAATGAAGAGTTGTGATTGTGCAAAATCCCCACCAATCACCCTGCAGAGACTTCCATGCTAGGCCACAATTTTCAGAAGGCCATGAAAAATGTGGCCTGTCTCCGGTATTTAATAGAAGAGTTGATTGCTCCCATCGTGGGTGGATCAAAGGTGTTTCCATTCTTCATGTTGATCCTTCATCATGCGTTCACCAGTGCAGGGTGCCCTGGGTTCTAGTCGCCACAGTATTCAGCAGATGCGACAGCAACAAAAGCTGACATTGAAGAAGATATTATATCATTACTGCATTGAATGCTATAGCCAAGTGGATTTGCTGGGTGCAGAGTATTCCCTGCCACATGGCACAGCCGGACGGCCAAAACAGGTCACCGAATACTTTACTATAAATTTCAAACCACATCGGACGCCAGACCGTGAGCGTTCCAGTCTCCGAGAGATGTGATACAAGCGGAAGGCGTCGCCAGAGCGCAAGCTACGAGGATACTCTATAAATAAAGTCTAATTAGAATATTTAATAGTGTTTATTTCTGGACATTCCCTTAATAAAATTAACTTAGAATTAGCAAGAAGAAACCATCAGTATTAGTTATTTCATTATTTTTAAACCTCTGACAAAAGTACTCTGTAGACAAATCAATTTTCATTCCAGTCCCATTTTACAAGATGCAAAGTCAACACTCTTCATCCCTGTGTTTTGCACTTCAGGAAGTAGAGTAGCGTCTTCCTAGCCAGATCTTTAGTAAGGGTCACCCGAAACCTTGGTTATTGAGACTGGTCATCATCTGACCAGTCTCCCCTGGAGGGGTGGGGGGAACCCGAACTGGGCTTACCTAAAGTTGTGAGGTTAATGTAATCCACAAGCAAGCAAAATCTGCAAGCAAGCAAAAGATATTTTTTCAACTTCCTCAACCATCCACTTCAACGCGTCAGAATGCCACCAATTCACAATAAAAATGCAAGATCCTCTATAAAAATAGAGGGCAGGATTGAACTTGCTATTTCTACTCTTAAAAAGCAAGAAATTAGCTCAATTGCTGAAGCTGCATAGTTATTTAATGTGCCTTATACTATCTTATATCATTGAGTGAAAGAAAGATGTGCAAGAACCAGTTTATATATAAATTCAACTAAATTGACTAAGTCTGAAGAGGATCAGCTAGTTCAATAGATCTTAGATCTAGCTAAACAAGGAATTCCCTCTGGATCAGTAGTTATTGAGAATATAGCTAATTATCTTCTTGCTATACAAGATTCTATCTCTTCTTCTCTGTGTATTAGCAAGAACTGGATGTTAAATCTGATTAAATACTGTACAGAGTTCAAATGCTGTTATTCCAGACACTATAATTATAAGCAAGCAAAATATGAGGATAGGAAGATTCTTCAGCAGCTGGATATTCAACTCTAATCTCTACTCTCTCAGCTAGCCAATCTAGCAACTTCCAGTTATTCTAGATCCTACAAACACCAAGAGACAATTCCCAGCAGTTGCATAGGCAACTGGGTAAGATCAAGAATCTTATGAGCTGTGAGGATCATATGTGTGGATCAGCGTGACAATGAATCTCTAGAATGAATATTCATGGAAAAAGAGTACACAAGGTAAAAGGTCTGTATTCTGGCAACTATATACAACTTGTAAACAAGATTGCTACTAACTTCTAGCAAGAGATTCACACAGTGACAGTCTTTTATATGTGCTCACAAGCATGTGACTTAGTGCCTCACAAGAATACATGCAGCTCTCAGTAGCTCACAAGCTAAGATCTCTGACTCTTACAGATACTGTTTGTTCAAGTAAGAGATTTGCAGTAAATTCTTACAGATTCCCCTCTCTTATAAGTCTTGATCTCTTAAGATAGCTGTCTTATTAAAAATCTTTATAAGTAGAAAAACAAAAAACCTCTTGAGAAAAATAAAAATTTTCTTATAAGAAAAAGAGTACAGCCTCACTAGAGATGTAATATCAACACAACTCTAATAACATAACAGAATCTAATAACACAACAATGTATAGAGAGTTTCTATTGTTCTCACTAGCTCTGTGTCACTATTAGATAATGAACACTAGCTTAAGAGAGAGCTTTCTCTTGCTTTCTCTTTCTCTTCTTTTCTTCTCTTTCTTCTCTAGTCTATATTATCATTACCAAGATAAGTGAACTTTTCAAGCACTGCTTCACATGGTCATAAGGTTTTGCCTTTGTGTGGGGTTTGGTTCACAGAGAGGCTGATGCATGCTAGTTACTGCTGGTTCACTCTCTTCTCCCCTTTTCTCTCACAAGTCATCTCCACTTTTCTCTTTCAGGAGAACACCCACACCCTTTCTCTTTAAAGAAAAGATGTTCAGATCTTCAGTGAGTATTTCTTGCAAACTTGAGAAGTATTCACAACTAATAATTCTAAAGTATTATTACTCTCTCTTTTCTCTCTTCATCAGTCACTGCTATTCTCTTTGTGTTAGTTCAAGCTGTAAGTATCTTCCACAAGCTGATACTGGTTTATATGCTGATGAAGTTAGAGTCTTGCTACTCTATCTCTTCTCTCTACAGTTGTCACTGCTCCAGCCCTAGCCAGAAATATAAGTATTATTTATTATATTTTAGTTTATAACTAATCTTCTCTAGATTATTGTTGCTGTTTTCTCTGCTTCAGCAGGGTTTGTGAGTGTTATAATTCTATAAGATGCTTGAGATCATCCAGTACTCTCTCCACAAGATCAATAATAGTGGTTCCAGATCATCTTTATTGTTATGAATGTAGATCTAGATCAACCAAGCATCAGATGACATCAGATGTTCAGGAGTATTCATATGACTCCAACTCTAAACATATAAGAATCACATGATTTACATGAATTGTGGGAACTCCAGCATTCAGTCTTCTAGTTAGAGAATCTCTATATTCTACACATGACTCTCTCTTATCAGTTGCAGGCATTATATCTACTTAGCTCTTTTGTATCTCTAACTCTGAGAAAATCTATATGACTTACAATCAGTTCTTCTAACATTCTGAATACTCTAATATATAGTTATCTAAGTCAGTATAATACCACCAAGATTCATGAGATAAACCACAACAACATCTTACATTGTAGACTCAACAGAGATAGACACTAATATAAAGAAGATAAACATTAATAAAGATGCTGATAGCAGTGAAGTTATTATCAGCAAGATATTAGTAGATGATACAGATAACAGAGATACATTTCTCAATATATTGAACAAAATTCAAAGAGAGAAAATCTTTAAAAAAAAAGAAAACACATCTGCAAAAAAATCTAACAGATATATATAAATAAAATAAGATACACAGACTGCAGAAGCAGATAGAATATAAACAGAGAATAATAAATAATAATTTCTCTCTAGAGTTCTCTTTACACACATAACTAATAAAGAAGTCAGATAATTTCAATAAGGTGAAATCTCTAAAAGCATCTTACTACTATGGCAAATCACTTGACAAGTACAAATTATAGCTAGCTTTAATAAGACAGCAGTTTTGTCTGAGAAAATTATTACAAAAGATATCAGATGTAGTCAGAATTAATTAAGCATCCAGCTATTTTTATAATAAACTTCAGATGCATTGGCAGATGTTGGAAATAGAGAGAGAATAACTACTCATATTATAAAATGAATTCAAGATATGGTATAAGAACAATATTGAACTCAAGATAACTTATAGTTAAGATACAATACAGCATTATCATGACATTATTTAATAAGAGAACCAATTCATACTCTTGTTTTTCATGTATATAGCTGAACTTAAACAGAATCTGAATAGTCTATCAGATAAATTCTTTTGTGTACTCTTTTTATAGATAAAGCTCAGATTAATCATTCAGACTGAACTAAATAAACTGCAACACTAATCAAAAATAGTTGCAGAATTACAAGAACAAGTAATACTTATTAAGTTTATTCTAGAAAAGAAGAAGCAAAGTCAGTAGAACAAGAATTAAAATAAGAAGAAACAGAAAATTTCAATTTCTTAAGAGAAAGATGTGTTTCAACAAGATAATAAAGAAGATTATCCAGAAATAAAAAAAACATTAGTGAAACTACTTTTAAAAATGTTGAAAGAGAAATACAAACAATAAATGAATAAAGAGCTCTGTCTAAGATGTAGCTAATCAGATTATAGAGCAAAGTTCTATACAAACAGCTTTAACAAGTTCCAGAAGACAGATAAAAAGAACAAGAACTAGATAAAGACTAGAGCTATAAAGCTTATGCAAGACTCAGATCAAATATTAGAAAGACAGAATGTTAACTTAATAGAGAAGACAAGCAGGTGCAGTATATATCTGTCAGTCATACTAATTATACTGTCAGATAATCTTATAGAGCAAGCTGTACTTTTGAACTCAGATATTATAGTGAACAGTATCTTCTACAAACTGGTGTCTTAATTGAACTGAGATCAACCAGAGACACCTATAAGAGTTATTAAGATGTTGAATGAAGCTGAGACTGATTAGTATAGTATCTACAAGACCTAACTTACTATAACAGACTTTATAAAGATTATAAAGATAGTAAGATGTATGTTTACAGTAATCAATATGGTTGATGTGAATATAGTTCTAGACATGCTGTGGTTAGAAGATTTCAATCCAGATATAAACTGAAAGAACAAAACATGATATTACTAATTTTCAGAGAATATAATAGAACTTCTGAATGTAGATAGATTTCTCTGAGTAATATGTATCAAGAGTAAACTCTCTTATATTATTTTTGTGTCAGATAATAATTAAGTTCTGACAGAAGTATCTGAGTAGTTAAGAGACTATAAAGATATTTTCTCAGAAGAAAAAGTAGCAGAGTTGCTAGAATTAACAAAGATTAGTTATCTGATTATTTTTAAAGATGGCTGCAAGCCTCTGTATATATTAATCTATAGACTATTACTCAAGCAGATGAAGATTCTACAAGAGTATATCAAGAACAAGTTATGTAAGAATTGAATATATTTATCATAAAGTCTGGCAGAAGCTCCAGTATTGTTTGCATTCAAGATTAATAAAGAACTCAGGCTTTGTATTGATTATTGTAGTCTTAATGTAATCATAATAAAGAACTATTACTCTTTGCTGTTGATAGACAAGATGTTAAGCTGATTAGCAGAAGCATGCTACTTTTCCAAAATAGATTTATATGATGCCTATCATTGAATTAGAATTAAAGAAGAAGATAAATAGAAGATCATATTTCATACAAAGTTTGGAAGTTTTGAGTATCTTGTTGTATCTTTCAGATTATCAAATGCACCAGCAATCTTCTAGTTCTATATTAATAAAGTGCTGGCAGGCCTGGTTGATGTATGCTGTATAGTTTATCTAGACAATATTCTTATTTTCTCTGCCTCAGAGAGAGAGCACAAGAAACACATTAGATTAGTTATAGAGTGTCTAAGAAAATATCAGTTGTTTGCAAAACTTGCTAAGTGTACTTTCAAAAGATAAACAATCTCATATCTTGAATATATTATTAATAACAAAGATATTAAGATGGACCCAAAGTGAATACAGATGATTATAAAGTAGCTCTTGCCATAAAGTTTTTATAATATTCAGATATTTCTGAGTTTT